AGACAGTTAAAGTCATCTGAGCCGAACGCGAGACCAAACAGGAAACGACGATTCGGGAAAAATCCCGAATCGTGCCAGGAAATTTGGTTTAAAAAAATCTACCTGCAAATCGAGCTTGCTGCATCACTTGGGCCCCAGTGATTGGCCGACCAAGCTGCGCCGTGGCCTGCGCTCGAATGTTCGCATTCTGAGAGGCCCCGGACGTAGGACGAGGTCTGGCAGGCACAGAAGGCTGTGGATACCCTTGTATAAGAGCGCCATGGAGGGCAGTTTGTGGACGTGGCATCGCAGCGGTCTGTGGCCACCTGGGACTACTTCGAACCTGTGCCGCAGCTGCAGCAGATGGCAGGGCAATGTACGCTCTCGGTGCTGGCTGCGGCATTGCGGTAGGCACGAAGTAGCCAGTACCGCCGGGGTGGAACATCTGTCCAAGATTAGCTGACTATAAACAAAAACCGATTTTAGACAGATATGTACGCTCGAAGAATCCTCAGTACTAATTTATCAATTCCATCGTTGGTGGCACGAAAATATGGATATACACATTGGTTGGAAATCGAAAGTTTGGATGACGATGACATTGTCCTTCACCAGGATCCACAACGGCAGAAAGACAACGCCGTTACATGTGCAATGAAAAAGAATAGTTCAATCCAATTTCTGCACAACAGATCATCGCAGTAGGGTGATGTAAAACTACCTTATGCAATAAATTTAAATTAACGTGTTACAAGCTGTCTTTCTGTCACTGATTACCGTGATCATGGCGATGAGAAATGCCAACGTTTGTCTGAAACTTTAATTAACTGCTAAATTTGTTTCCAATTATTCTGAACAATGTAACATCTGAACAACGAGAATGCTTAATCACAATTGATAATTCTATTCACTCGGAAGAAACTTCAGAAAACAAGTTCGATATGCTCACTTTACAAAAGTTAAGTACATGAAATACACAGATAAATAACTGTGGCATGAAACATGAAAGACTCCAGTGGACTGGAGAACAGGAATTGCTCTACCACTATTTAAGAAGCGAAACTACAAGGAATGCTCCAAATAGAGGGGCATTACGTTTTTGAGCCTCCCAGGTAGTCTACAAAAAGGTGCTAGAAAGGAAGTGCCGCGAAATAACTGACCTCAATATACAAGAGCAGTGTGGCTTCCGGCACGGT